GAACTTCTTTGGCAGTCTGATGAAGGCTATGAACTTCCTATATGTATAAAAAAAATGTAGGATTACTAAGGAAACAAAAGGTCAGAGGTATAACTTTTTTTCCCTATCTAATTTTACAGACCCCCAAAGTCTTTCCATAGATGATTCCCCTCCCCCCACCCAGGTTAAGAACCCCTGACCTAGAGATAACAAGTAACTAACTACTCCAGTTCATTGAACAAGAGAGTCAGGTGGTCAGACCTAAGCCTTAGGAAGATCACTTTGGCAGCCATATGGAGGATTACTAGAAAAAGGGAAAACAATTAGGAAGAAATGTCACTAGCCCAGGTAAAAGGTGAGGAGGGCATTGACCTAATATGGTAGTTGTGTGAATAGAGAGGAGAAAGCTATAAGAGATATTGGTGGTATAAATGACAATATTCTGATGAGTGATTAGATAAGTGGGGTGAAGGAGTTGAAAGGGACTCTGAGCTTGTAAGCTGGGGTGTCTGGAAGGATGGTAGTGCCTTTAACAGTAATATGGAAGTTCAGAAAAGGGGTAGATTTTTTTGGAAAGATAATGAGTTCTGTTTTTGCTCTTTTAAAATTAATATTTCTATAGGCCATACAGTTTGAAATATCCAATTGGTGGTTGTGATATGTATCCCAAGGCTCTGTCCTGGGCCATCTTTTCTTTTCACTCTATACTCTCTCAATCCTCATGAGTTCATTTAATATCCTATGCAAATAATTCCCTCTGTGTATCCACCCCTAGTCTGTCTCCTAAGCTTCACTCACACTTCACCAACTACCTCTTTGATGTCTCAAACTGGATATTCCATAGGCACATCAAAGTCGGCACGTCCAAAATAGGGCTCAGTATCTTAACCCTTATATCCTCTTGTCCTCTGAACTATCCAGTTACTGTCTATGGCACCACTATCCTTCCAATGACTCTGGCTTAAAATCTTGGTGTAAGCTGTCAATCTGTTGCTAACCTCCACCTACATTTCTCTTTTTATGTTCCCCTCTCTCCATCCACACAGCTACACCCTAATTCAGGCCCTCATCACCTCTCCCTTGAATTACTGTAATGGTCTTTTTTCGGGGAGACAGAGTGGGAGGCAATCGGGGTTAAGGGACTTGTCCAAGGTCACACAGTGACTAGTAAGTGTCTGAGGCCAGATTTGAACTCAGGTCTTCCTGACTCCAGGGCTGGTGTCTATCCACTGTGCCACCTACCTACTTCCTTGTAAACGTCTTTTAACCAGTCTCCCTAGCTCAGGTCTCTCCCCAGTTCAATCCACCCTTCACTCAGCTTTCGAGGTGATTTTTTAATTTTGTAAAGCACAGAGCTGACCATGTCACCTTCTGCTCATTGAGCTCTAGGATTTTAAAATACAAAACTGTCTTTATATTTTATCCTGCTACTAATAAGCTTTTAAATTTCTTCAAAAGTTGACCTCTTCTTACCTCTCCAGACTGCTTGCCTTTACTCCCCTCCACGTGCTCTGGTATCCAGAGTCAATCAAACATGTTAATCCCTCTCCCATCTTTGTGCCTCTGCACTGGCTGTCTGCAGAACATGCCTGATCTGCTTCCTGACTTTACTTCTTGGTTTCCCTTACTTTTTTCAAAACTCAGCTCAAGTCCCACCTTCTTCAGGAAACTGTCCTGGTTCCCCTAGATGCTAGTGTCTTCCTCTCTGAAATTACCTTCCATTTTTCTGTATATATCTTGTATGTCCCTGGTTATTTACCTTTTGTCTCTCCATTATAATGTAAGCTCCTTGAGGGCAGGGACTCTTTTTGACTTTATTTGTATTCCTAGTCCTTAACACAGTAGCCAGCACATAACAAGTGCCTAGCACATAAATGCTTACTGACCATCTGACTAAACAATTCCTGGAGCTCAGGAGAGAAACTGGGGCTGGATATGCAGATGCAGGCGTTATTCACATAGAGCTGATGATTTAAATCCATAGGAATTCAATAAGAGAGGGAGAAGTATCAGTAAGGAGCTTTAGAATACTCCCGAAGTTAGGGGGCACAATATTGCTAATGACCCAGTAAAGACTAAGAAGGAATATCAGGGAAGGAGCCAGTAGATATGGAAAGACTGAAGAGCCCATGATGGAATGACTGATGGGCCAAAATTGTGGAGTATACAGGCAGGTAAGAGACATAATTAGAAAGGCTGGTCTTGGCAAAGAGAAGGACTACCTTTTTCTTTCTTTCTTTCTTTTTTTTTTGGTTAGGCAATGGGGTTAAGTGACTTGCCCAGGGTCACACAGCTAGTAAGTATTATGTGTCTGAGGCTGGATTTGAACTCAGGTCCTCCTGAATCCAGGGCCAGTGCTCTATCCACTGTGCCACCTAGCTGCCCCAGGACTACCTTTTTTCTGAGAGACAAGGATAAGGAGGTGAGATTAGGGGGATAATGCTGAGGGTTTGTGAGCTGTGGGAGAGGAAAGAAGAGGGAGCTCATGAAGATGGCCTCTATTTTTCTAAATTAGGAGGGAAGGTGCTCTGTAAAAAAAGAAAGAAAGAGGGTGATGGAAGGGTCTTGAGGGAAGGAGTAGAGGTATGGCATACTGATCATAGACAGCACAAGAGCCAACAAAAGAAGGATAAAAGAATTATCATGAAACAGTGAAGGCCTACTTGAAATTATTTAACAAAACTGTAGTGGATCCAGCCAAAATTTTTACCTCATATTATAGCTGTATCAGGGAATTCTTAAAAAAGTTATACCAGAATTTCTTGATATGAAAAATTGTCAAACATAAGGCTAAAGTCATGTTAACATGATCTTAAAATCTGTGCAATAAGAAACTTAATTAGATTAGAACTCTTCCATTTTTTCACTTTTCACTTGAAAAATAGAGTTAAGTTGACTCTAAGTAGGCTGGATTTTCCCTTTATAAGAAGGGATGTCTTAAGATTTAGATAAGATTTATCTCTAACTAAAAGGTAGTAAAGAAATGATTCTTCATGTGCTTCAACATCTCAGTTTACCAAAAGTGCAATTTAAAGGAATTTCCTTAGCATTCCACTCAAAATATCATCATGATTATTTTCTCCAAAGATAAGATGCTAAATCACCCTTACTAAAAGCAGCCTTCTGCTTCTTCTTCCTCCAACCTAAATATAACCTCAACTAGCTTTAAACAGAGAAAAACTGCTAGGGAAGAAAGGCCCAATTCATGGATGTTAAATTAACTTGAAATCAGTAACATTCTGATGAGATTTTCTGTTTTAGAGCTTTGAAAGCTTTGAGAGAATTATTTTCATGACCTTCAGGGGGGAAAAAAACAGCATAGTAAAACTTTGCTAATTAAGACTAATTACAGGGAGTCTAAACTTAATTGCCAAATCTGAATTAGAGTACATACATATATACACATGTATATATCTACAAGTGAAATGAGAGGACATCTAGACCTACCCTCTTATTTTGCAGATGAGAAAAGTATGGCCCAGAGAGGCGAAAGTGCATACAGGTAGAGGTAGAATATTTTCAAAGGAATGAAATCATATTAATTTCAGTAACATAAATAATTAGTTATGTTAATTAGATCTTTCATCACACTTGTTTTAATGTTTTCTAAATGTACATTGTGTCCAAATGGATGTTATTAAATCTGTTTTGAAAGCAGTTTAAATTTTGAAATGGAAGGTGTCAGAGATGATAATTTTTATAGTCCCTTGAATTACAGATTGAGAATTTGAAATCTAGAGAGGCTAAATGACTGATTTAACCTCCTTTTCTTCATCCCAGGCTTACTGTAAGGGAAAGTGTTTTGCAAACACTAAAGTTCTATATAAATGTGGGTCAATATTATTGTTATTTCATGTCAAAGAAACAGTGGCAAAAGGTGTACTTACATAAGTTGACTAGATATTTTCCTTGCAAATTTATTTACATAACTAGCTAGAATGAAAGAAGTGTGGTGAGGTAGATTGGGGACCAGTGCTGGAGTCAGTAAGACCTGGGTTAAAGTTCTGCTGCTGACATGTATTGGCTGTGTGATCATGGATAATTTGGGCATATAGTACCCCAAACAACTCTCTAATGCCATGAATTACAGACAAATTGATGAACTACATTCATCAGGGATACTTCCTCTCAGGCCTAGATCAACCTTTTCCCTTAAAAAATGAACTTAGTCAACCTTTTTTTTTTTCATAAACTCTGCATGTAAATGCTAGTTAGCTTATGTCCAAAGATCAGCAATTCCTAATGAGTAGAATCCAAATTAAAATAAAGTGTTATCCTACAGAACTTTTAAAAATGATTATAATGAATACATTTTCTTATAATTTAGAAACCAAATTTAAAAAATAATTTCCCTTTACTTTGAGACCACTAATTAATCATAATGATAATTTGGACTGTATATGTTTATATAAAGACTTCAAACTTTCAAAAATATTTTTGCATAATTATCTCATTTGCTTTTCACAAAAACCTTGTGAGAAAATTGAGAAATATAAATACTTTTGCAGATAAAGAAATTGAGGTACAAAGTTAAGTTGTAATACGGAGAATTATGTAATGTAAGAACTAGAAAGGATTTGAGAGGTCATTTTATACAGTGAATAGAATAGAAACCAGGGTCACTAACCCATACATGAGCTTTAGTGAACCTGAGTGCACATATTGACTCAGAAAACCACATATTAACTTTATCTATGTTTTATTCTATTTTTATTTATTTTGTTAAATACTTCCCAATTATATCTTAATCTGGTTTAGGACCACAAAATTATGTCTTGCATTTGACACCTATGATTTACAGCAACATCTTAATTTTACAGATAAGGAAACTGAAACTGGGAATAACCAAAGTAATAAATCTAATTAATGGAAAACTGGGGACTTGAAGTCTGATCTCTTTTCTCTAAGTACAGTAGTTTTCAAATACTTCACATCTATTGTTCTATTTAAAATAAAACATTAATCTGTTAGCAGTTCAATATAAAATATTTCAAATTTTTTAAATAGGAAAAAAAACTCACCTGCAGTAAAATCTTTATTCAGATCAATGAATGCATGAGAGTGTGGTTTTCGCATTTTACTTTGAGCATTCAGTACGGGATGCCATGATAAATTCCTAAGGGGGGAAAAATAGAAAATGTTGCTAATGAAAACTTGCAAATGAATCCTTTTCTATGACATGCAACTAAAACATACAGTACTTTAAGCTACTAAATTTGCCTACATAGCATTGCTAAGACAATACATAGATGATTTGTAATGGCTATTTGAACTAATTTTACTACAACCAGAAAAAGAATAAATTATGCCCCTCAGAAAAAGAATAGTTTCAGTTTTTGTACCAAATCAACAGAGTACATATGACTACACTTCTTTTCCCATCCTTAAGATAGGCAATGAAATTATCTGTAATAGTTCTAATGGTGCTATCTTCCCAATGAGAAAGAGAACGTGATCTAAGAGAATATATCTGAAATGGGCATCTATGTATGTAGCTAATGACAATATTCAGCTGCTTTGTAATTCAAGACTGCCAATCTACCTAGGCAACATGGATGTAAAACTAGTTGCTCCGGGGAACTCCTGATTAACTTGATGAATTCCTCCAAGACAGGACGAGACTGCAGGGTATGTTGAGAAATACTTTTTGTTTAGAGATGTCAAGAGGCAGTTCATTAGGTAGAGTGGGCAAGTCTATGGGTATCTAACTTATAAGGATGGAGAACTCCTTACTACTTTCTACTGTCTGGAGTGGCCTAAAAAATAACTGGCTGACCAGGACTTAGAAGGACAGACAATTGTCTGAGTTAGCTGACGAGCCAGTTCAGCCTGTTTTGGACTTCCAAAACAGGCCAAATTCAGCAGATGAGATCTAGTCCTGAGTGATGAGTGAATCCTATACTTGTGCAGTCTTAGGAACTAGAAATGCCTATCTTTGGGCAGAGGGACATGGGAACTGCATATGCTTGCAGAGATTCTGAGAATGAACTTTCCCCTTCTAAGTGTTTCTAGTGATCAGGGCACTAACAGATTTCCTATGGAAAGACATGGCAGAGGATGACATGTGTGTGACTGCAGGGCCTGAGAGGGCTATTATAGACAGTTATATGTGGAATATAAGGAATTTTGAATTCCCCAGGTTTCATGATCCCATAACCTAACCTAGTCAGAGAAAAGAGATTTTCTTTACAGCACTAACCTTACGAGTTGCCCAAAATGTGAGGTTTGCAGGTTGGGAATATGCAGAAAAATAAGGAAATTTTTTATCGTAGCATGCTAAATAATGAGATCAGCTACACAGTTGATGGGCAGCATTTTACATGGAGAATAAAGGCCAGTGAGTTATATGAACAGTTACAAGCCTGATGGGGAAAAATTGCTTTTTTTCCCCCGGTAGCTCAAAAATCTATTTGCTTTTGGCTGGAGCGTGGCTTGGTGGAAGAGGAGAGGAAGTTGTGGAATCCAAACCACAGGACTACACTCTAAGTCTGTGAAGGGTTGTGTATCGGTTGATTAGAGATCTATAAAAATGCCAAAGGATTGCCCCAGTGGCAATCTCAAATTCAGTTTCCTTATTAGGGAAGCTAATGGGATAGTTAAATCAATTAACAAACATTTATTAAGAATTTATAGGGGCAGCTAGGTGGTACAGTGGATAGAGCACAGGCCCTGGATTCAAGAGGACCTGAGTTCAAATCCAGCCTGAGACACATAACAATTACTAGCTGTGTGACCCTGGGCAAGTCACTTAACCCCATTGCCTAGCCAAAAAAAAAAAAAAGAATTTATTGTGTGCCAGGTATTGCGCAGAATCTGGGGACACACAAGTAGACAGGGTATTTATCAAGCACTTACCACGTGCCAGGCACTGTGCTAAGTCCTAAAGATATAAATAGGGGAAAAAATAGATAACCCTTATGAACTGAGAGGTTAGGTGTTTGAGGATGCATTAACATATGTTAAAGTCCTCTAGTATAAGGACAGGAATTGGGAAGGAGAGGAAGAATGTGAGCCAAGTACTTTAACTTTAATAGTATTTTTGTATTTCTGCATCTATCTTCCTGAGTTCAAATTTGGCCTCATACACTTACTAGGTATGTGTCCCTGGGGAAATCACTTAACCCTGTTTGCCTCCATTCCTCATCTGTAAAATGAACTGGAGAAGGATATGTCAAACCACTCCAGTATCTTTGCCAAGAAAACCTCAAATGGGGTTATGAAGAGTCAGACAAGACTGAAATGACTGAACAACATCACAACCAAACATTTAGAACTATCCCATTAGCTTTGGGCTTTAAGCACACAGTTAAGATACTTTAGAAGCTACATATGTTTTATGCCTCGCCTTCAAATCTAATTCATTCATGTGTCAATTACTTATAAAATGCCTACTACATGAAATGCATTGTGCTAGAAAAAAGACAGAAATAAATTAGACATGATCTCTCCTTTTAAGAAGCTTTATGAGTAGATATGTGCTGAGATAAATATAACACTAATTATATGATATAATAAATATACTAATTACATGATTTGATATATGGATGGGAGACATACAAAATGTTCTATCAAAAAAAGAAGGGATAACTTTTTGCTGGGGAGGGGGTTCAGGACACAAGACATTTGTAGGTGGGAAAGAGGAAAGTCTGCTGGATTTGAAATAGGGCCTAAGTTTAAATCATGGCTGTGCAGCTTACTACCTGTGCAACTTCAGGAAAATCACTTAACTTTTCTAGGTTACAGTTGCCCTGTCTGTAAAATGAGGCAGTTGGACCAAAAGGCCTCTAAGGTCCCTCTAACCCCTATATCTAGGATCCTATTATCTATGAAAACCATGAATAAAGACTAATGATAAAGACTTTTGAAAAGTTGGCATACATATCTTAAGAGATAAAGACTCTTTAAAAGAGGAAACACAATATGAGTTTGACTTTACATAAATGGAAACAAATAAGGAAATCAGTGTAGGCAGTTATTGCCCAATAAAATTTGTTTTTGATGATGATCTTGACTGAAGATTTTGCTTACTTTCTATAGTCAACTATTAGGAATCATGTAACTTATAAAATTTTCACCCCTTTTTAATGAGTTATAAACCACACAAATATAGTGCGGGAAAGACAACAGCGGCCAGCTTGGCTAATTACTTCAAGAAAGCTTACTAGCCAACTAATATAAGTATGTTCTATATAGATGCAAATTGGAATGGCAAGAATATAGGTTCCATGTTGAATATTTTATTCCCACAACTTCATATAATCATTAACATGGAAAGGCTTTTGAGCTCCCTTTCCAACTGAGGTTCTGACCTGCTTCTATTTCAGGAAAATTCAACATTATGGCCTTAATGTGTTTTGGAAAAGATCATGCATGTTATTTCATATATAGTTTTTCTTCCACTGTTCTTTTGTTGTGTTTTGGCTCATTTTTGGAAGCCATCTACCAGTGGTAAAATGAGTCTTTTACAATGAGAACAATTTTGAGTCAAAACCAAAGGAAACTCAAAACCAAGGAAGTTTCAATATACTTCTAAGGGCTTATACTAATGAAATGTCAAGTTGTCTGACCTGAATTATGCAGAATAATTTTTTAAAAAGGAACCATCAGAAGATATTGATTAGACATGAAAATCTGGCTATAATGACTTAAAAAAAAGACAGCATTTGTGCTTGGTTGGGCAAAGCACAGACTGCACAAAGAGTGCGCATAGGAGAGGCTTTTCACAGAGTCCATATATTTCCCACTTATCTTGTTAGAACTTTGTGTTTACATCTGCCATTTCCCAACATTCTTTGTCTTTGCTCACCTAAATATACCACTTTAAAAAAAACAAAATGGGTAAGATAAAAACAGGGAATTTACAGTCTAATTATAGTACTTTAATTAAAACACCAAATAGGGATACAGGAATAGCAACATGTTAGAATTTTATAGGAAATTGCCTGTGGCATTTTTTATTTGAGACTCAATGCCAAGTAACAAGATCATTCTTTTGTACCAACGAACAAAATTGAAATCTTCAAAAGAATTTCAAGGGAAAGAACTGTTGATTTGCTTTTTTGATAGATAAGAGGCAGTGAAGTTATTCAAATGAAGCACTTTGAAAAACACCTTCAAGAAATTATAAAATCTAAACACTTGCATGACACCAAATAGAATCAGGAGGAGCAAACTCATTCTAGAAACTCTAGGAAAAAAATCTGGCCCAATAAAGCATTTAGGAAGAACTTCCTAATGAAAACAATTTAGTTTGGTCATTGAAAGGAAACAAGGCAGGGTTTAATTGTCTGATCATTTATTGATTCTACCTTCTACACAATCCAGGTCAGATACTTTGAAATGAATCAATTAGCGTCTTCTGGAAGATCCCAATTATTATGTGTAAGTATCACACATTATGCCTATATTAGGAACTTAATAAATGTATGTTGAATTGCATGTGAAATGATTTGTCTTATTCTTTCATTTACCTAAAAGTATATCCCAAATGAAGAATCCAATATGACTATAAAGTGTTAATTGTTTTTAAAAATTTTTTAATATAAATCTATTTATTTTTAGTTTTCAACATTTACTTCCACAAGATTTTGAGTTCTAAATTTTCACTCCATCTTGCCCCTCCCCCCACCCCAAGATGGCATGCATTCTGAATACCTCTTCCCCTAGTCTGCCCTCTCTTCTATCTCTCCCCCCCTTCTCTTATCCCCTTCCCCTTCTATTTTCCCGTAGGGCAGGACAGACTTCTGTACCCCATTTCCTGTATTTCTTATTTCCCAGTTGCATGTGAAAACTTTTTTTTTAAACATGTGTTTTTAAAACTTTGGGTTCCAAATTTTCTCCCTTCCTCCCTCCCCACCCACCCTCACTGAAAAGGCAAGCAACTCAATATAGGTTATACATGTGCAGTTACGCAAAACACTTCCATAGTAGACATGTTGTGAAAAACTAACTCTATTTCCCTTAATCCTATCCTGCCCCCCCATTTATCCTATTCTTTCTTTTGACTCTGTCACTCCTCAAAAGTATTTGCTTTTGATTACCCCCTTTCCCAATCTGCCCTCCTCTCTATCATCCCCCTGCTCTCTTGTCCCCTCCCCCCCATTTTCCTGTAGGGTA